TTAGGAGACATATATATATAGGATCGTTCTGTAAATAAACGAATAGTTTAGGATCGGTTTAGTATAAGATCAAATGTAAATAGGATCTAAATGTAATTTAGCTAGCTTGTTAGGATCAAAACGGCATTTCCATTCTTCTGTAACTCTGTAAACCAGAATATAAATTCAGAACTTCGATGAGAAATCTAGTAAAGGAGGCAAGAAAAAGAGAGAGAAAAAAGAGAATTGATATTGTATTTGTACGTGTTCTTTTCGTCAAAGTTCATATATATATATATATATACTAGCAAATGATCAATTGATGATTATTACCGGTGGTTCCGGCGCCGGTGGGAGGACCGTACCATGTCGCTTGTGCTTCCAACCATTGGTGGTGGGTCTTATTTGTATGGCAGAAACAGTAATTCAAGGAAGCAAGAAGCTGTAACGAAAGAAACGAAAAGGTCCATCCCGACCATGATTTCGGCGAGATAGGACCCATATGATCGGGATCGATAGATGGAGAGGGATGAATTGCGATTAATATTGCGTACGTACGTACTTACTGCCAATTTAGATATCAAGTATGTACGTACGTACAGATCATGAAGAAGACAAAACAAAATTAGCTGCTAATTGCACTCATATATCGAATGCTGCCATGCATGCATGCATCCAGATTGCTTTCGTCCACTCGTAAATTTGTCTTGTCGTATTGATTTACTAAAATTGTGTCAACCTCATCTAATTAGCTTCGCTAACAAAAGTTGCCGAAACATGCGGGATTCTAATATATTTCCTACGGTGGCGGCTACTCGTTTCGAGCAGGCGATTCATATGAAAACGATTTCAATCGCCATTTATGATATGATGGATAAGAAAATACATGAAATTTGTACAAAAATTATTCAATAATTACTTTAATTTGAATGATTTAGGTTTTAGAGATTTAGGGTTAGGGTTTAGGTTTACAATTTGGAGGTTTTAGTTGCGATTCAGAATTGAGGGTTAAGGCGTTAGGGTAATGGATTGATTAGTTATAAATTATAATTATATGTTATATCATCATACAAGACTAATGCTACCAATTAAAATTTAAAATTCGGTGTATTATGGTCACTTTTAGAGTTGAGTACATTGAATGCACTAAAAAGGTGAGTGCACCGAAGTAGCCACCATCGCCATATATATATGGTGCCTTCTATGGTACCCCGGGTGAAATCCGGGGTACCACATACCTTGAGTATGGAAACAATATCTAGACCTCGAATTAGCAGGATTTTTGGGTATGATACTATATCCTAACCCTTAATGAGTGAACCCTAGGTCCTAATTATCTAAATCATAATCTATAAACCCTAAGATGGTGCATTCCTTTTTGTGTCTATATTTGGACGAATCATAACCGTCGATTATTGTTTCTAATTAAATTGATCTTTGAGTACAAGATTGGGATAATTAAGACCTAGATTTTGATCTTTAAGGGTTAGATTATAGTATCATGTCCGAAAGATCGATCAATTCAAGGTCTAGATAGTGTTTTCATACTCAAGGTATGCGGTACCCCGGATTTTACCCAGGGTACCATAGAACTCGCTATATATATATATATATATATATGCCAAAGGCTACCCAGGAGATGGAAGATGATCAGGGACTGCCTCTCATCCTTGGTAGACTTTTCTAGCCACTAGAGATGAACTCATTGATGTCGGGAGAGGCAAGTTGACATTCCGAGTAGAGTAGGTAAGGAGGAGGAAATTTTTTTATGTCTTTCATGTTGATCATTATATTCACGAATCATTTGATGACTTTGAAAGCGTTGCTCGAGAAAGAAATAGTTTCTCTTCCAGTGATGGTGCCACCCGAAGAACTATCACATGTCCTATCATCTCAGATTCTGAAATCAAAGCAAGGACAGAATTCCTTACCAGGTCATCTCAAGTATAGATATTTGGGTATGGTTTTCAATCTTCCTGTTATTATTCCTTCTTCACTGACATTGAAACATGAAGAGTACTTGCTTGAGGCGTTGTTGCAATACCACCTATGCCTCAATAAAGGGTCTAACATGCAAGCTAAGAAGGTCATATCGAATTTTCGCACACCTGGCCCGGCCCTACGAAGGTGACTCATATGTTGGATGGAGGTTATATGTTCTATCATTGTTCGGGAGGGTATTCAGGATACCTTTCTATACCCATTGTTGAAATCTCCATGAACGTCAAGTTGAGGACGCTAAACAAGCGCTTCTTAGGAGGCAACCCAAAGCTAGTTTTCTTTTCTTTATTTTTCTTTTTAGTTGTGTCAAAATCATGCATGTTTAGATTAGGAGTTTGACATTAGCGCCAATGTTATCCATCCTGAGTGTGGGGTGGTGAGTCTTAGTGTTTCTTTTTGTTCCTTTTGTCATGTGATGTGGTTAGTTAAAAAACTGTCAGTAGGTTGTGCACAGGAAAACTGCATGTAGTCTGAATGTGCAGGTTCAAATGCTTGTGCTAAACCTAAAGGCTAAAATACACCTAAGAAAACATTGTACTCTTGTGGTAACATGATGTAAATGATCATGGTGTATTTGAACGAGCTTGTGCATGTTTGGAATCATCAAAATCACCCCACAAATGTTGAATGTCAAAGATCTTCACAATTAGCTTGATGTTTTGACTGACTTAATGTGTTTTGAATTAGCAAACTCCTTAAGCAACATTCTCTTTTGAGAGTATAGTGTAATGCCTTTTGGTGAAGTGGTTAGGTGGAGAGCATTGACCATTCGATACGTTGGATACCTTGCTTAGTTGCATCTCTTTTGAGTTTCTGACTTTGCCAATAAGTCTCTCTGTTTTAAATGTTTTATATGGGGTAAACAGTATCTTTATAAATAAGAAAATCCTACTTGACAAGTAAAATATAAGAAAGTTGCCATAACAATGAAAGTGTGGGTAAAGTACCAACATCGTGTGAGGCAATCACTCTTTGCATAGGGGAACTAGGAAAGGTTCAATTGAGCATCGGTTTGCGATCGTACGATGTAGCTTATCAAATACAATCCCCTGCCACGTTAAGTGCCATTTAAGAATGTGCTTAGAGGGCACGGATAAAGCTTCCGACGCCCCTCTGTTGCATTGACCCTCCACACGGACCGAGGAAAATAAGTTGAAAGAAGCCCTTATGCGAGTGCAAAGAAGCAGAAATTGCTCTTGCTCGGTCACCAGTAGTAAGAAACAAAAATCACTTGTACTAAATACGATTACTCGCCAAGCAAAATCAGAAAGAGAGAAAACCTCTCATTGTCAAGAAAGGTAGTGATGTTCTTAAATTTAAAACCAAATTTGCTAAAAGCTTCCCCATGCACTTTTTAGACTTTCATGCTTAGTTGGATGCTAATGGTTGGTGTGAGTAAGTTAGATTGTCCTCACGAGATATGCACCTCACTGATGTGGCTAGATTCTCCTAATAACTATTGCACCATAAGTTGTTATTACCCAATGTTGATGATCGGAATTGAGTGTTGCTAATTGAATTGAATTGTGATAAGTCGTACCATGTTTGAGTCGATCAACAGTAAAGGGTTGCAAAGACATTGAGTATGGGGTGAAAGGTATGATCATTAAAGCACAATTCATCCAGCGAGAAAGAAACTACTGATATCACAAGCGTCCAAGGATAAATTTCTAGTGTTAATGTTGTTTTCTGTGTGTCGTGGGTCTTGTGTTTTGAGCAAGGTTGTCACTTAATGGAATGTCAATTGACAATGGAATGGTTGCAAAGCCATTACCATCCTGTATTAGAGTTTTTTTGGGTGTACTAAGCAAGAATACAAGGACATGAGAGCACAAGCAAATGACAAAGAAGGACAAGCAGACAAAAAATGAGCCATTCTCTCCTCACTCCAATAGAGCTTCGGCAAATTTGAGTTGTAAAATAGTACTTTACATCTAAGTCTAAGAACCTATTTATAGTACAATAGAGAGGGGTACAAAAGGTATTTTTCTCCTAAAGTCGACCTAATCCTTCCTAATCTAACTTGAAGTCGGTCTTCATCCACTTCTTGACGAAGTAACTTGCAGAAGAAGCTTCCTTGTGGCCTAAAGAGAGTAGCGATATAGCAAAGATTGGGCCGCGCAGCTCCGTTTCTTCGTGGGTTGGGCTCTTTGGTCCATGGATTTCATCTCCTAACGATTTGGGCTCAACTTGTGGTAGCAGTGGTTGGACCCGTTGCTCGATTTGCCGCTCTTTCTTTCACCATAATGGACCGAGTCTTCTTCCTACACGCTTGTCTTGACATAATCTTGTAACTTGTAGTTGACTTCCTCGTCATTGGACCACTTCTTTCTCTAGAAATCTTCTTAAACTTCTCTTTACAACTCATTTGGTCCTTCGGAATTCTTAAATGTTTGATCCAATCTTTCTTAGGTTGCTTTATACCTTCATAACCATCAATAGTGTACCAATAAGGCATCAAACAATACAGAACATTGCCTAGGTCTATTTCAAACTCATTGATCAAAGTTGTGATTTAGACTAGAATATCATTAAAATGACTAAAGATGCTTCCATAGAAGTGAAAATGTATTAAGATTGTGAGTGACAAACACTATAAACAAAAGGAGAAATGATTTTATTTTATTTCATTCTAGATGGTAGTCGATAGGGATAGCGATTACCCACCCTTGGGTAATTATACCCAAACCCAAGTAGACCTAGTGATAATAAGTAGGGTATGGATGATGTATATTAATCCTTGTTATGAAAACCGGGTCGGAACGAACAACCGTCCGAGCCGCTTCGAACCGGACCTCCGTTTTTCCGATTTTTTGCCCTTGCACCTTAAAAAATGAAAATAAAAAATGGGAACCTAATCAACTAATGCATCGGATTCGGCTGAAAAACCCTAGACTTGGAAACAAAAAACAACCAGCCGCCACAACTCTTCCCTCTTCCCGATCCTTCGTCCAACTCTAGCCTCCGTCATTTCCATTTTTCTATGTCGGTCGCTGACGGAACGCTGACTTCCCAGCCCCCTGTCCTCCTATCGACTTCCTACTCCCTCCGACTCTTGTAATCCTCTACTTCTCCGATCCCTCACCTTCATCCGGTCTCCCCCCATCGCCGAAAACTCTTCAGCAACTCCAGTGGTAGCCGATGACACTTCAGCAGCCGCAACAAGTTCCACGAAGGAGAAGCATCGGCGACGTCACTGGAGGATCCTCAACGCAGTAGCTCTTCCCCTGCTCTGCCTCTCCTGCCGCCAACTACTCCTCTGCACAGCATCCCCTAGCTCTGCCTCCCCTGCCGTCAATTTTTGGAGCGCAAGGTAAGGGAGGGATGTTCGAGACTTTGGTTTTATGTATGGACTCTTGTACAAGTGGTTTTTATTTAGGTGAACAATGTCGTTTATGTGAGATTTCAAATTTGAATTTTAGAACTTATGGTATTTATGTAAGGTTTGGATTAGAACTTAAGGAATATGCTCACGGGTTATTGTGTTTAATCAGTGTGTATCACTTATACTCTTCGTTTATTAAGTAACGGGTCAATAACGATTTTTTACCAGCTCAATACCGGTTAGACCACTAAAGTGTCGGACCCGACAACATTGCACCCAACCCAATTCATTTAATAATTATTAAAGGAACTTTTATTCGATTTCGCTGTTTCTCTCTCTTGCACAAATAAAATGGAACAAGGGCTTGCTTTCTTTTCCACTCTTCGGAAAAAAAACTGGAACTTTCAATCAGAGAACAGGAAACGAAAATGTCCCATCACGGTGGATATGGTAATTCTAGCTTCCGATTTTCTGCAAATTGGATCTTTTTCACAAATTTTGTTGCCGTTAACTCCGATTAACCGATGATTTCCTCAGGCGATAAGGGACGCCCGCCGAAGAAGTACAAGCTGCCGCCGCCAAGGTTTGTTCGTTACTGTGACTCGGTTTCATTGGGATTTCTTATCCGGTAAGGTTTCTTTCCCTCTTTTCTTGCAGGATGACGACGACGATGGTTATTACGGCAATGAAGCTGGTGGGCGAGGGGATGATGATTATGGAGACGGTATTCAGTTTTGTGAACTCGTTTTGAAGATTCTATAGTCTGATTTTGATTTGTGCAGCTGGTGATGTATTAGTTTGTGTTTCCGTTGGTGATTATTGGGTTTTGAAGGTGAGAAAGAGGTGAAAAAGAGGGATTTCACCAAATTAGAGCTGAAGCCTGACCATATCAATCGCCCACTTTGGGCTTGTGCGGATGGTCGGATATTTCTCGAGACTTTCTCTCCATTGTACAAACAAGCATATGATTTCCTCATTGCCATTGCAGAGCCTGTTTGCAGGTTTGGTTTCCTTGATTCTATACTCCCATGTACTGAACATGGGAATCAGAGAATGGAAAAAGCTCGTGGCGTTTCTGGATTTGTTTGGTTTTTATTAATGTTGTGTGGTTTTAGGCCAGAGTCAATGCACGAGTACAATTTGACTCCACATTCATTGTATGCCGCGGTTTCTGTGGGCCTGGAGACTGAAACTATAATAGCCGTTCTAAATAAGCTGTCCAAGACTAAACTGCCCAAGGAGATGATTGATTTCATACATGAATCTACTGCTAATTATGGCAAAGTGAAGCTTGTTCTTAAGAAGAATAAATACTTCATCGAGTCTCCATTTCCAGAGGTGATTTGTCTTTGGTTCGCTTCGATGGAGGTATTTGAATTTGAATTAGAATAATTGCTGATTTCCCCTATGGCATTTACAGGTCCTAAAGAAGTTGCTCAAAGATGAAGTCATAGGTCGAGCCAGGATTCAGTCTGAGGTTTAGTTACTTTGTTTGCATTGCCTTGTTGTTTCAAACATTCAGTTGTTCCTTTTTACGTTTATTTCCAAGGTTTCTGCAGACTTAATCGTCTTGTCTACTTCTCCTGTGTTGTGCTTTATTGGTATTATCCTTGACAGAATGAGCATGGACATGATGGATTCACAAAAAGCAAGACTGCAGGAGAAATTGGCGGCAGTCATGATGGGTTGTTGAATGAAGCAGAATTGGCTGCTGCTGCTGAAGATAAAGAAACTCACTCTTTCCAGATTGACCCCTCTCAGGTTGTTTAGATTAATAATTTTTCCAGTGACTATATTTTTACAAGTTGTCTCTATTGATGATTGACCGTTCATCTTTGCACCTTTGAACAGGTAGAAAATGTAAAGCAACGGTGCTTGCCTAATGCTCTGAATTATCCGATGTTGGAGGAATATGATTTCAGAAATGATCCTGTAAGTCTACATTTGGCATCCCATTCTGTCCTATCTTCACTGATAACATATATGCTTGTCTAAACATTAAGGAACTTCATGAAAGCCAGCTGAGGAAGTGATAGTATGACCATTTTGATTACTCTTGACTGTCGGTTCTGTTGAATATGGGTGTTTTATGTTGGTGAGCAGACATCAGAATTTTAGTTTGAGCTTGTGTGCCTGGCTTTAAGTTTATTAGCTGTTCTTGTCTTGTTGTAGGTAAATCCAGACATCAACATGGAATTGAAGCCCCATGCACAACCACGTCCATACCAGGAGAAGAGCTTGAGTAAAATGTTTGGAAATGGTATTTATGGCTTGAGCTTTCTATTATATATTGCAATATCATAATGTAGTGAAGTAGTCATTATATAGATGTTGATGGTTTGGGAATAACTAGGCCTGACTTTTGAAGTAACATCAGTCTAGCATTTCCTTCTAATTCCATCCCGGTTAAAGGGAAATCACTATCTACATTGTTAAATTTTATTTTTTGGTTGGAATATCAGTGGGTACTGGATTGTTATGTCAGCCACAGGTAGATGCGTAGAGTTGTCCTGCTTCCACTTTTTCTGGAAGAAAGTAGCAAGAAGGCTTGTTGGGGAGCTCTCTGGACTCTTTCGCACTCAAAATAGCAGTTCAATAATTAGTTTCATGTTTCTAGGCTATTTATTACATAGCTTAGTGTACATTGGGAACTCTGCGGTACTAGCTACCGAGACCCATAGGCCAATCTTTTTGCTCCTGTTGTGTCCCCCTGATGCCCGTTAGGTGGCGTAACTTATTGTATTGATGATCAGCAGGGTCAAACATAGAGCACCTTATTATGAGTGCTGTCTGACCTAGCACTTAGGAAACCAACAGTACCTCTGACATACTAAGTCCTATGAGCTCTGATAATGTGCAAAGGTTATTTCAAGATTTACATGAACCCCCGATAATTTGGATATGATGATTGCATTTGTAGGTAGAGCAAGATCAGGCATCATTGTGTTACCTTGTGGTGCTGGAAAGTCTCTAGTTGGTGTATCGGCTGCATCCCGGATTAGAAAAAGTTGCCTTTGTTTAGCAACAAATGCTGTCTCAGTTGATCAGTGGCACTTCCAGTTTAGGCTATGGTCAACAATCCCGGATGAGCAAATTTGTCGTTTCACTTCTGACAGTAAGGAGAGGCTCCAGGGTAATGCTGGAGTTGTTGTGACAACCTATAACATGGTTGCGTTTGGGGGTAAAAGATCAGAAGAATCTGAAAAGATTATTGAAGAAATAAGGAATAGGGAATGGGGGCTTCTTTTGATGGACGAGGTAATTATTCAGTATATTGTCTGATAGGTTTATCTTGTGAAGATCACAAAATTGTTGAAGAGGTTCTGTGACTTTTATCTGATTCAGGTCCATGTGGTTCCTGCACACATGTTCCGTAAAGTTATCAGTTTGACTAAATCTCACTGCAAACTTGGGCTTACTGGTAAGTAGTTTGATTTCAGGTATAATGTTATCCCTGTGTCAGGAATAGTTTTTTCCGTTTAATCTTATTATTGGTTCAATTGTAGCAACACTTGTCAGAGAGGATGAAAGGATCACAGATCTGAACTTCCTCATTGGTCCTAAACTGTATGAAGCCAACTGGTTGGATCTTGTGAAAGGTGGATTTATTGCAAATGTCCAGTGTGCTGAAGTATGGTGCCCGATGACAAAGGAATTCTTTGCAGAATATCTGAGGAGGGAAAACTCAAAGAGGAAGCAGGTTCGGTTTTCAATCGCTCTCCGTGGCATATCTTCGTAATGCCTAAGAATGATTGCTGTTTCTTGTGACTTTGTAAGTTGAATTTGTTTTGATTTCAGGCGCTGTATGTGATGAACCCTAACAAGTTCAGAGCATGTGAATTTCTGATACGGTTCCATGAACAACAGCGTGGCGATAAGATAATTGTGTTTGCTGATAACCTTTTTGCTCTTGTTGAGTATGCAATGAAGCTACGTAAACCTATGATCTATGGTGCTACCAGGTGAGTTATACCGAGAGTTTCCCTTTGATCAAACGGTGCCAAGCTTGCTTTAAGTTCACATATTTTAACTATAGACCAATTGTTTGTATTTGCAGCCATGCTGAGAGAACAAAGATTCTCCAGGCCTTCAAGACTAGCAAAGATGTGAATACGATATTTTTGTCGAAGGTATTTCATCTTGTTATGTCTACCCGTATTTCTTTGGTGTTTTAACCTTTCAGGGGGCACACTGTACTCTAGCCCTAGAATGAACGATGAGGGAATTGAATCCTTGACCTTCTCAATGGAAGTGTGGATGATTAGGGTTCCGTATTATTATTTTTTACTATATCACTCAACTATTTGTTGTCGTGTACAGGTTGGTGATAATTCTATAGATATTCCTGAGGCCAATGTGATTATTCAGATCTCATCACACGCTGGTTCTAGACGGCAGGAAGCTCAACGGCTGGGTCGTATTCTTAGGGCAAAAGTAAGACACTAGTCCATTCACGCTTTCCTTTGAAAGCAAGAGTAACTTCAGCAAATTGTATTTGTTTCTTATGTACCATTTTTGTTTAATGCCGAAACTTCGTAATCCGCTCATGTACTGTAAACATTTTGCTTAGGCTTCACTTGTCTCATGCATGTCCATATGGATTGATTTTACATGACGAAGCGTGCGGTCAACAGTTGTTGACTGGATAAATTAGTGTTGACTTTTGGTTAACAGGGAAAACTTGAAGATAGGATGGCAGGAGGGAAAGAAGAGTACAATGCATTCTTTTACTCTCTTGTATCTACGGATACACAGGTACAACTTTACCTTTTACCTCTGCCTTTGATTTAAAGATATTCTAATTAGGACTGTCTCTTGGGTACAGGAGATGTATTACTCAACCAAACGGCAACAGTTCCTAATCGATCAGGGTTACAGTTTCAAGGTACTTCCCCAGTCCATAGTTTTCTGTAATTCTACCCTCGATATAGTTTATGCTTGATGTACAAGATGTGGAATCTATGGCCCAAGGCCACTCAAGACTTGCCTCTGGTTAGGATTACTATAGCAATGTGTTGAAGAGTTATTTTGTGGTGTGTATCTGAGTGAGGCATTAGATAACTTGTTAATTGGTCATTGCCGCAGTCTCAAATCTAATTTATAGCCTCATAGTGGCAATTGATGATCTGGGGCATGTGTATCTTCTAGTGTGAAGGTTTTGATGAACTGGCAATTGAACAGGTTATAACAAGCTTGCCTCCACCGGATTCAGGAGCTGAGTTGAGCTACCACAGCCAGGATGAGCAATTGGCTCTTCTGAGAAAGGTTTGCCTTTGTAGCTCTGCTGTGTTTGCGGACTTAAGGTACAACAAAATTAAGGGGGGATTTTTCTTGCTTGACATTGGCATATCTATCAGGTTTTGACTGCTAAAGATGACATGGTGGGTTTAGAGCAGCTGGAAGAAGATGCTGATGATATTGCTCTTCATAAGGCACGCAGGTTTGCAGGATCAATGAGTCACATGTCTGGTGCTAATGGAATGGTTTACATGGAGTATAGGTAAGGAAAAAAATTCCAGTTCTGTTTCGTGTGTTCCCCTCCCTTTTCTCTGCTCACCTTCCATATTTTGTTTGGTGTGCAGTACTGGACGAAAACTTCCACCAGGTTCGAAGTCCAAGCCAAAAGATCCAAACAAGCGCCATAACCTGTTCAGAAAGCGTTATGGCTGAGATGAGAAATCGAAACTTTCACTTTCAGCTCAGTTCATTTTGACAACCCAGATGAGTGAAAGTACACACCACCCTCATATTCTAGTTGTTATCTGCACTACCGCTCTCGCTGAATGTTCTTTCACAGAGTTGTAAAAGTCGAGTGATATTGAGAAAGCCTTATGAAGTGGTGTGATGAAAGAAAGTTTCTTGTCTCATTGCAGTGGGCCGAACGTCGAGAAACAATTCATATGCTGCGTCTCTGGCTGCGAGGAAATGATGTTAGAATAGCGCCCCCCACTTAAGTTGAGATACATGTATCTTTAGTAGCCAGAATAAACTGGGAATGTTGTTAATATATGTGGTTGTAAAACTGATTTCTTTCGGGTTTCTATCTTTATTAATATAATTATTATTAAGGAAATAATCGTAGGTATTTTTTCAGAAATAGCACTGTTTAAAAAAAATTATAAAAATAGCTCCCAATCTCGAAAAATTTCAAAAATAGCACCCTTTTTCAAAAACCGCTGGGAGGGGCGCGATTTTCAACCAAATTGCTTTGGTTTGAGGTGGGTTGGTTGATCGCAGAGGGGTAGGGGTGGTTTGGTTCAAAACTGTTCCCCCAGCCAGCGGTTTGGTCTTATAATTTTTTTTCTTGACTATTCCTAACCTATGTGGAAATTTCAAGCAAACGTATCATTGTGCTCGGGTATTCGATCGTGGTGACTTTTTTTTATTCCGTAAAACCTTTCGAGATCTTGCAAGCCGCAAACTGCCGGTCTCTCCTTCGTCGCGAAAAATGTTGTTTGCTACCCTAAATAGGAGATTTTTTTTTATTTCGTCAAACTTTGGACAGTCATAATTTTCTGCTCCAAAATCCGAACGTCATGATTTTTTTTTTCATTTCGTATAACTTTTCAAGGACTACAATTTTTATCATAGACGTAATTTAAGAATATAGGTGAATTTGTGAAAATAAAAGAATTTGTGAAAATAAAAGGTAACGTTATTCTCAAAACCAATATCTCCAAAATAAATCATGTTTTGAAAATATTAGCTAACGAGAAAGCCCACGAGTTGTGCTCATATATGGGCTCATTATAAACAAGAAGTTGTGCTCATATACAGAAAGCCCATGATTTCAGCTTTCTGTATTTACACGTGGCAGGTAGTAAGTGGTGGGAAGTGCGTGGAGCTCCATCCTGGACCGTAATAGAACCAAACCCATTTGGCATTCGGGTATATATATATAATCCGACGACTCACGCTGCCTGTTTGAGATCGCGAAATTTCAGTCAAATATCAAGAATCGATTTCTGCTTCACGCGTCGGCTGCCATCTCTGATCTGATCGAGCCTCTCCTCCCCGCCGAAGTGAGTTTCATGATCTATTGCTTCTTGCGCTATTCTTTTATATCGTCTGGTCTCTTTAATCATAGATCTGGTGTTCTTGCATTGTCGATCCATTTGATAGGAGGGTAGGGGTTGTTGGATTGAGTTTCGCGATTTGTATGCAGTTCAGTTGGCTTGTTCTTCGAATATGATTCATGTCGGATTCAAGTTTGTAGCGAAATTAGGGCATGAATTTGGCGCGTTCTGAAGGAACCGATCTCAGATAAAAGCTGTTTTGTTCCTCGGGGATGGATCTAATATGAGCAGTGGTCTCCAAATTGATATATGATCCTTTTTCATTTTTCCTGTCAGTTGTGTAACTGCTAATCTGTTTATGGGCGTGTGGAGATTCCGGCGTCAATTGGAATTTTGATTGGATCATGTGGAACTTGACCCCGCACCTCTTATGCATAATTTGGATGGAGTATATGGCTAATTTCTGGCTTGCTATGCATAATTTGAAAAATAGATGTGAACTTAGTGGATGCATTTTCAGATTGGGGATGTCTCTTACATTATTTCATGATCGAGCATTGTGCTCATGTGAGTAGTTCTAATTGATTGAGTTGGAATGACTAATAATTCTAGGTGTGGCGTACTTGAATGGAACTAGGTGGTGCCAAAAACTGGCCTTGCCCCTGCTGTGTGCTGTCTGATTGCTTTTGAGTGTGATGCTAAACCCTAAACTCATTTGGTCAGTTGCAGAAATGGCACTAGGTGGAACAGCTCCCCCGCGAGGAAGTGCAGCTGCTGCTGCAAGCATGCGCAGGAGAAGAACCACCGGTGGTGCTGCTGGTGGTGGCGGTGGTGGTGCTGGAGGAGGAGCCGCTGGGACCATGCTCCAGTTCTATACCGATGATGCTCCGGGCCTCAAGATATCGCCGAATGTCGTCCTGTTTATGAGCATCGGCTTCATCGCTTTCGTTGCCGTTCTTCACGTTGTGGGTAAGATATACCTTGTTCGAAGGGAGGCTTGAAAGACCCGATATACCCTTGTGAGTTGATGCCAGCGGAGCTAGCTAACTCTTGTGCTGTTCATTTTCTTTTTCTCGGGGATTCAGTGTAACAGCCGTAGACAGTTTTTATGCATCAATCGCGTGCCAGCGTTAGATCAAACCTTGTCTCATCTCTGCCTACTCTTTGATCAGTTGGATTTTGCTAGAGATTTGGTTTTATATATGCGCACAGGATCAGTTTTGCTGCCTTTTTTGTGGTGCTTCTTCACTTTGGACAAGCTTGTGGTAGGTGAATGGATTTTCTAGAAGCTTAGGACAAAGAGTTGCACTCGGCAGCACAATCAGAGGATTCTATTGGGGATTTAGGTAAATGGCAAGCTTGGTCACTAGAATAACTATATAAAAAACTACTTTCGCACTTTCGCCACTAAAATTATTTTATTCAATTCTTGATCCCATCAGCAGTTTCATCCACCTTTGTGGTACCAATGATTATGGAGCTTTGTCGCACAAATATAGAAGAAATACAAATCCTGCCCAATATCTATGGATGGGTAAAATTGTCATCCCTAATTGAGGCTAGAGAAAGAACGTCAAAGAACATCGCGTCTGAATTTTTTATGGTAAGATATCGAAATTATGTGCCCTCCGTAATTGAGTAAAATTGCCATACCTAGCTAGTGAGGACCCTAATCATCAGCACGAACTCCATATTCTACAATTATGTGCCCTCCGTCGAGACACGCATTTTCATTTTACATGTTCATAGCCGTATTATTTAACTTCACGTTTGGGTACCCATTCCATCTCTTTGCTCGATCCAAATGTAAGATAACTGAGCGACTCACGATACTTTGGTAGGGGCTATGCCCGTGTTCTTATTAGTTTGAGTGGATGTGCTCTGCACCCATTTGGATGGAAAATAAAGTTCGTTAAGTTAATGATGATTGTTATGATAATTTTAAAGAGGGCACAAAGAAGTTTCTGTCTCGGGCAGGAATTTCACAATTTGATCAAAGAAGCTGAGGATTTCTCTAAGAACTAGGAAATTCACATTTAGTTTCTAGTGCGCGCCCTCGGAAGCCCAATTAGTACCAGAGACCATACTCTCATCCATAGGCTTCAAACCCCCACAAGATCTTGCAACCGATTCAAACAGCTTCTCAATCTCCGGAGCGCATCTTATGAAAGTTCGGTTCCAGAAATTGTACCTCGGATTCTGCACATGAAAGTCGACCCCCAAATGGGGAGTTAATACTCCAGTTCAGACTGCAAGTTGACCCAAGACAAGAAGAGGATCGTGAAAGCAGTCCATGAACAAGGATTACCTTGATTAGCTCAATGAAAGTTATCAAAAGGCCCCACGGATGGGGTCTGTTAACGATCAGGCGTTCCAACAGGACTCTGGTAATCTGCTCCTGGATAATTTCCTATAATTTCACACAGAGGATTTCCATTCTTTAAGATCCAAGGGAATCGTGAAGATAGATGCAAGAAAAGACTAAGCTCGAGTAAATAATCAGGAATACCCACCTGATTTGACTCGGCAAATAAGTAGAGCAGAACAAAGGAGAAGTAATGTGTGTGGTTGTTGGGATAGCGCAGTTGGTTCGCAACAGCATTGAGGAAGAGGTATCGACCTTCATTGTCTAGCTCAACTACTAGGGTCTGGTAAATATCCAAAGCAGCATCCACTAAGAAACCAAGAGGGCCTGTATTTCCAGGTGCCTGTGCATGAGGTGTTCTTGCCTGGAGCTGCTGGATGGCCTGAATACAACAATTAACTCTTAGCAAAAGCAAAAACACAGGCATTGACCCAGAACCACTAAAGAAGGAACTGCTGCAAACTTAGAAAAGCCACCCAAGCGCCTACCTGCATCCCTGTGTAAAGGACGAGAGAATTTACGAGTGCTACATTGTAATGAGACCCGGCAGTTGAAGCCTCGCTTGGCACAAGAAGCAGCCTCTGCTTCAAGTTGGCGAGGAACAAGGAACCCTGTTGTCTTGTCTGCAATAAGCATGCACGCAACAGTTCCAACAGGATACCAGAAAACTGAAGCAAATAGCCAAAGCAGTTAAAGAACGCAGCAAATTAGGTTACCTTCAGATACTCATCCACATCAGCCTTCATGTTCTTTGCTCTAAGAGCAGCATCAACTTCAGACAAGATGTGCGGTGGTTCTCTAATTTCAGGAAGCAAATCAATCTGTTGACCAAGAAGATGCAGTTCCAATCAGCTTTGTTAATAAGAAAAAAGAATAGTGCCCAAATTGCACCACAATTTCAGCATCCATCAAACAGAACCTTTAAATTTGGAGTAGACGGATCTGGAAGCCTCATATTGCGAGGAAAAGCACTCAGAATGATATTGCGCATTTGTATGCAACTTGAAGGTATGACATCACAGAAGGTGAAATGATAGTCGCACAGGAACTCAGGAAAATCGTGCAGTAGAACTAGCAGCACTCTAAGTGTACCTTTGTAGAGAAAGGAGATCTGCAGGAAATAGGACAATGAATATAGAGGGGAAGTCATTTTACACCCAAAATGGATTACGACAAAAGAAAACCAACAGAGTTCAGAATGCATACTGGTCCTCGTAATTCAGCATTTCTTAAAAAAGGCTCTAGGAACTGAAACAGGTCCACCAGCAACCGTTGAACATAGGGCCACCCCTTTTGAGCATTTCCAGTAAGTAATTTTGGCATGAAGCTCCTGTGACTTACTAACTCAAGCCACGCATAGCTGTAGATACATAAACAGCATTTATTGGCTTAACAGGCAATCACTCTAGAGAGAGAGAGAGAGAGAGAGATGCGTTTTAGAGGGGTTGTCTATGTGGAGTGATACTTCTAGGCTGAACAGAGATAAGCCCGCAGCCTTGTTTAGCATCAATACAGGTTTAGAAACTAAATTGCAGCCAGAAACTGCTCTATGAACTTGGTGTATATTAAAGTTGGGTACAAGGAGCACAACAAAACTAGAACAGGCTAGACTACCAGGGGCTGTTGGATCAACCAAGGAACAGGTTCCAGGTTCAGTTTGCCTAGGCTATACAGGTACCTCTAAATAATAA